TAAGTTTAGTTGGCATTTCGATGTAATAATATCTCCTTGTTGAAAGCAGCATTGCAGATACTTGAGAGCGTTTAGATACTTGAGCGCAACGAGCACTACTCATTCCGTTTTTCATATGGCTCCAAAGCTCCTTGCAACAATTTTATTTATCCCTCTTTCTTATATACTTTTTTTTTTTTGCCAACTTCTTCCGCATGCGTTGGATTTGAAATATTTGAGCAGTGAAAGTGTGCGCCTGATTGTGGGCTTTAATGTTGGCAATAGAGAAGGCGTTGCAACACGCCCACGGAGGGTGGGAGGTAGCGTGTTGGCTGTACAATAGGTAAAAGGGCACGTGAATGGCACTCGTTAAATTCTTCCAGTTAAGAAACTACAAAATATGCGTTTACTTTGTGACTATGGGGTTTTACAAGCTGTGGCCTTAAGTATGTGCTTGGCGCTGTAGGAAAACGAGCAATGATTGTAGATTTAGAAACTTATACTGCTTACAATGGGAATTAAATCGCTTCCTACTGCGTTGTTCAAAGCGAGAGTAAACTTTCGAGTAGCGATTCATTTGAGAGTTAAGCGAACTTAAAGTGAAAAAACAAATTACCTACATTGTTTAAAGTTTGAAATATTCTTGCTATAAGTTAAAATTTTCGGCCGCAAGTTTGAGCCGTTTCGTTTTAATGTACGTCAGTTGTCAGAGTTGTCTGAAGGAAGTCAGGTTGGAAACATCTCGAAGAACTAAACTAAGAGGGTTCCATATTTGTGATTTGGCTCAGATAGGCTTTTGGGTGGTTGTATGACACTTTTTAATACATACTCTTCAAGCTGTGATGCTAAGCTTATACTCGCAAACCGAATCGATATTTTTTTTAATTTTTGGCTTCTTGTGAGTCGCCCGTCCACCTCGCTTAACGAAACATCGAAAAAGTTCAAGAAACTGTGCCTAAAGATTGTTGGGTTGGCATCAGAGAGGTAAGAGAGGTTCTCAACATCCACATCATTAATCGACACAATACATTTTGGTAAAGGTTTTGCGTATGAAGCCTGACAACAATACACTCACACCGATATAAATGAATCTTTTGCAAAAACGCCGTCGAGTAGACGTCGCCAAAGAAGTGCTTGATCACAAAGCTACATCAAACACATCATCCCTACATCAAACACAACATTACTGGTGACGACACGTGGGTTCATGGATATGACGTCGAAACTGTCCAAAAATCTAGTGAATGGCGCCACAAAAAAGGCACTGAAGGTTCTCCTAAAGACATAAATGGGTCGTCAGACAGCCACTCTACCTACATACCTACCTTGATCGGTGACATGCTGTCAAAAACGATTCAGCATATTTATTATCGACCATTGGAAGTCCAAGTACGCTGCCAATGCTCGTGTTCAAGGTTTTATAAGAGTATGACTTTAAGAAAAAATACGGAACCATTTTTAAGCTTTGCTGTGTACAAATTCTGTTCTCCGCTAGCGTGATGTCATTAATATAAACATAACCTTAAACATATTATACTCGTGTGACTTTGTTGTGGGAACATCGAAATGTTTTTGTATGTATGTATATACACATGCAGTAAGCATCTCCATCACCATCTTCAACCACAAGTGCCACATTATATGTACGTTCAGCATAAAGTCTTTTTTCTCTTGGCAAATAGTAATTGATTATAATTTACCACGACATAATGTCATTTTGAACAAGATAAAATGCAAATGGCATGGATAGTGGACAGATGAGGCCAATAATAGAATGTATGAATGGATGAGACGCATACATATGTATATACTTCTAGCAGTGTGTGCTTGCTTGCAGTTAGATGCAACAGGTGGTCAAAAGTGGTGCAACAGCAAGAAGTACCGGGCAACGCGCCTTTTCTATGGCAAAAATCATAAATGTTGTTGTTATTGTTATAGTAATAGTTGTAGTTACAGTTGCTGTGGAGGCGCAGAGTGCACAATAAAGTGTTGCAGCATAAAAATTTAAGTGCAACATGCCTCATACTAATTGTATGAGACGCGTTTGTGTGGTAAGTGAAAGCATTCGGCATCTAAGGCCAACTAAACCGTGTGTGTGTGTGTGTGTTTCTTTTTGTGCCACTCGCATTTATGACAATAAAAAATTGGTCAGGTTGGCCCAGTCATTTGCGTTCACGCCATAAAAGTACGCGCCCGCGTTCACACACACGCACGCAAAAAACTCGTTTGCAAGAGTGTCCATAAAGGCCTACACACACATAAAATAAATATTTGTATGTATGTACATAGGTGTGTGTTTATGGGCATTCGTTACGCCATAAATGATTATACGCGGTGATTATTCATATCAGCCTCACTGCGCGCTAGGTCTGTTCCGCTGCGCTAATACTATATGTGTACAGACACTAAAACACACACGCGTTACAAAGAGTTAAGCCAGCCAGGCAATCGTTCGTGCAAACTTTTGCGTCAGCTTCATGGTTAGCTTAAACGCTTTACGCTCAAATAAGGCAAAAATAAAAGGACTGCAACGGATTGAGTGATAAATCTAGCAAGGTTTGTTGTTAATCTGCACGCTGGACGTTGCTTCTGTGCGCAGCGTACGCATGCGCCGTGAATGGTTTGATTGCTCAAGATTTATGTCGGTCATATGCTATCATAAAGGGTTATTGTGCTTATGTAATGGCAAAAAGTACGCATATACTCAAAACTATTTGTATAACATTCAATTTATGCTTGTTTCTCTTACGCAGGGATAATAAAGGTCGTTTGCTTTACTTTGTTGCTGAAGAAAATTTTTTTTGTTATTACTTTTATTGCTGACAGTTGCCCGCAATTAACTAAAATTATGTGCAATTTGTTACATTGAGACATTTACAATAGTAATTCATGCGAGTAAGAGCCTCTAGAAAGTGGAGGTAAAAATACGTCGTATTGTAGAATCGTATGCATACTGTATACATATATATATGTATGGTATACGAATAAAGCTAGAAATTTCTCCAAATTCGACCGAAAATTATTTACATTATTATTATTTATATTGTTATCTATAATAGGGTGGAGCGAAAAAAAATGTTTTTTTGCTTAGTGTTCTACTTTTTTATAAGTGTTCTAGAAGTTGTGGAGAGTCCTCTTTCTGGTCAATTAAAAGTTGTCAACTTAAAAACAAATTTTGTGGTCATTATTGGAGTTTTAAAAAAAGTCTTAAACGACAACATGCTTACCTTAAGCTTTAAAATAATTTTTGAATCAAATTCTGTAATTTTTATATTGTATAAATGTGAAGAATTCAAACCAAAATATTTTTTGTTTGTCCAAAAAAGTCTGTAAAAGTCAATTTTAAAAGTAAAGTCAAATATGTCTGTAACGATAGACCGTGTTATAGGGAAAAAGTTTTCGTTAAGCCGAAAATTAGTAGAGTGCAATAATTCGACCTGCCGACCACAATAAAGCCAAACACTCGCCGAAAAAGCTGAGGGTTGCTTTTATATTTTGGGATTATAGAACAAAAATAAATCTTAATTGTCGAAAATCGCTTTATTGTTTTTCAAAATATTCTCCATTAAGAACAACAGACTTTTGCATGCGTTTGGACCAATTGCCGAAGCCCTCTTGACACTCTGCTTGAGGTATCTCCAAAACATGCGTTCTGAACGCATCAACCACTTCTTTAGGTGTCGAAAAACGTCGACGTCTTAGTTTAATTTTTGCGTACGGGAATAAAGAGAGGTCATTCGGCGCCAAATCAAGACTATACCATGGATGTTGTTTCAGTCGATGTGTGAGATATTGCATTGTCTTTGTGAAGATCCATCTTCGACGGTTGCTTTTCCTGATTTCTTGAAAGACAACTGGGAAGCAAATGGCTGTGCACCACTTTCTTCTAGTAATATGGTTGCGACATGTAAAGATTTTCCAAAAATCCTTAGGCTGGGAAGTACTTTTGTTGGTTTCAATTCATCTTGAAACACAAATACGGTCGACTGCTGTTTACTTTCGGCCGTAAATGTACAATTGATCCACTGTTACGATGTTAAAGACGTGTTTTGTAGCGTTTGAGCGATTGACAAATTGTGTGGTATCTCACGTGAACAAATTTTTGGGCTGTCTGACGGAAGTAATTGCCCACCACTGACTCGCCAGAAGCTTCGGGAGCTTGGTTTTTTTTATACAACTACCTTATAGTTAAAACTTGGCACCAAATGAGTACTAACTATTGTTTTTTCTATTGCGAGTGGTTTTGCTGGGAAAAACTTGCCCCAAGAGAAGCTTTCGTAAATCGACGTTCCAAGTTTTTTTCCGAAAATAGAGACGAGGGTTTTTATGATAGTGACATTACTACTTTCGAAATGGCAGCAACTTATCGAACAAAAAGGTTCGTATTTCATCTAAATCGGATCCTTCTAACTATGCTAAATAAAACTTTCAATTAAATGCAAAAATAATTTATTTTTACCATCAGAACAACATAAATTAGATCAGACATCCCAAAAGCTCATCGTGTGCCTTAATCGTTAGTTCTTACTTGTGATCGAATCGCATCCAGTCTTTGTTGCGCAAATAGGTTAGGCTTAATACTTAGCTGGACTTATCGTAGTACATACTTTTTTAACGCTGCATAATGACTTTTCGAGACTTCGTTTTAGACGCCTTAGCAAATACCTTCTGCATTTAGATTCGTACATCTTTGGTATGAGGCATTGAATCAGCTGAAGAAATTTATTAGCATATTATCGATACCTTTCCCTTTTAAGGAGTTTAGTGCATCTTCAGAAGCTTTAACTAGGCTAAAGACTTAGGGAAAATGTCAAGGTCTAACCCAACACCGAGATAAATACTTCATAGAAGTATACGATTTTCATCCAATTAAATATATAAATTTATATAAATTATTTATTTAAATTTGTAATCGCTAATACATAAGCTTCCCCTAGTCATTTTTATAATAATCTTGCATACAAAAAGAACTTCTTTCTGTTAACCCCAAACTCGATTTTCCACAATCAAATCTCTATGAATAACACCAAAGCATCATTAAAACAGTTTATTGCAAATATGTAAAAAAAAAAACACTCAAAAAGTTTAAAAACTATTCATAAAGTTATAAGTCAAATAAAGAAACGAACTCATTCCCATTCAAAGCCTTGCTCGTCCTCATCAACATATTCCTCCACTTCCGGAAATTCGTCGCTTTCATTGCTTTCATCGCTGCTGCGCGCAAAATGATTGAACAGCATATCGCCATAGCCATGTGGACCATCGCTACATCTGCCCGCGCGTTCACCGTGCTCACCGTCACCACCATGAAAATCATCATACATAACGGCGCTTTGACTGTGGTGCTCATGTGCGACGGGCGTAATTTCGGGCTCATAGTCACCCTCAACACCGCCGCCATGATTACCATCATGCCCGCTCTTATGCGCGACTTGTCCGTGTCCACTGTGTCCTCCGTGACCAGTCGGTCCACCATAGCCGTTGCCCTGCATGGCAAAGCTAAGGATTTTATAGATTGTCTGTTGTTTGGCGCCACTCGCCTTGTGCCCGCTGCCGGTGCCACCACTGGCGGCGCTGCGTATATGTGCATAGACCGTATGTGTGTGGTGGTGCGTTTTAATCCGGAACGGTACATGTATGATGAGACGTTTTTGCGAACGACGCGCTTGTGACGTGTTGGCAAGTGACAGCAGCAGGATCAACGCGAGCGCCAAAACCATCGGTGATGAATGGTAGCAGCTAAAATGGCGATAGGTGGTGGTGCCTACCTCGTTATGGACGTTGTACGTATGTGGTTGTTGAGCACCGAAATACGCTTCGTTGCAATAAGAAATTCCGCTGGAATTAAAATTTAACATTTTGGCTCTTTTTTGGTTTGGAAAATAATCACACAGCTTTTTACTAAGTTTCTGCTGATGGAGCTGCTACGAAAAGGATATCGAGGGACGTCTTCCTCTTTTAGCTCATCACGCTTCTTTCACTCACCGGCTCATCTGACGTTGAACTGTTGAAATATTTTGCATATCTCGCCCATTTTATATTTGAAACTCATTCCTCAAAGCGGATTTTTGATGTATAAAGTTTTGATTACAACTCAAGTTCAGCGGCCGTTGGCGGTAACTTTTATGACTTAATTTTGAGTATTTAATTGCGTTGCAGCAGATGAATATATACATATATATAAAAATAGATTATAATGATTACCATGTAACATTACATGCATATTTACAACAAAAACATGGTTATAAATTAGGGTGGTAGGCAAAGTTTTGGGTAGCAGTTATTAAAGGTAGGAAAAAGAAGTCTCGCCGTGAGGAGGACTTTTCTGCTTAAAGTTATCTCAAATGCAAAAACAAAACAAAAAAAATTATTAATATAGTTCAATAAAGGTAATGAGCGAAGACCTAGTCAAAATTTTGATATTTGACAAATTGACAGTTTTCAAAAAGAGAAGTAGTTATTTAGTAAAAAAGATGTACACTTTGAAGGAGCTTAAAAAATCGAAATATATAACCAAAAGCGTACTACTTCTACAATTACCTGACAATTGTATGTAACTATGAAGGTTGTGTGAAAATTTCTAGCAAATCAGTCTAGCCGTTTAGCAGAAATTTTCCTAACCATCTCTGAAAACGGCAATGCGAGAAAAATCTTCCTCACTATTCTAGAATCTGAATACCCAGGTTTTTATATCCATGTGTAATAAACTTTTATGTCGACGTGATTGCTGTGTGGATTCCTCACCAAAAGTTTCGAAGTCCGAAAATGATAATTCTACTATACTGAGTTTTTTTCAGTATTACTGGAATTTAAAAATTGTTCATTACGGTAGTGTTCTTATCGTATATAAATTCGACAGTAACATTTCTTAAAGTCGAAACTTTTTTGTGTTATATAATTAATTTTCAACGAAAGAACGATTTTCCCATATGATCTCAATAGCAATAGCATCAAACTTCTTCCGTATTAGACTTGTTTTGGTGCCTGGTCACAGCGGAGTCACCAGAAACAGCAAAGCCAAAGAGCTTGCTAGCTGGGGCAGGCTTACCCCAATTTCATTCGATTGGAAGCTAGTCGGTACTCCGTTTTCCTCTTGCTTCCTTGAGCTGGATCTATGACGATTCCTGTGAGCTTGGTAAGCGCGGATAAACATCCAGAACGTGTACCACTGCGAGATCCTTCTGACCCAGAGTGAACCGTAAGAGATCTGAACTACTTGTTCACAGCAAAGTCAATCTCGCCGCAATTGTAGGAGTCCAATAGGTATACACGCGGTGCGGCTAGGTGGAATCATCTTGACACTTTCTCCTCTATTGCTCGGCTTTTGCCAGGCTAAGCTTAAAATGTCTCTTTATCTTCTCGACGAACCTAGCGAAGTGGCTAGGATTGATCTCTAAACGCCTCGTCCATATATGAGGATCTGATGATTCATTTTTGGAGTTTTAGGGTAACACAAAGGACCACCGTTCACAGCTGTCCATATCTCACTTGGATTCGATTAAGATTAACACTACGACCTAACCTTATCTAACTGTCAACAAACAAATAAAGTATTTTTCTCTACGACATAAAAAAACATAAAACCGTTCACCCTAACTTACATTGAAAGAGAACCATGCATACCTCTCCAATGTTCAATGATGCACATAATGATTATAGCCATATTTAGTAAGCACAGTTTAAAAATTTTTTTTACATTCGCTACATTTGCATATTTACATAAAACTTACTTACATACATACATATGTTGCCGAAACAAAGCACTCATTAGCCGAAGAGTCAGCCACATTTCGTTTACACCACAGCCTAATGGAATCTTCACTTAGTTGTAAACTTTTTTCAACTAACTTTGCTTGTAATTAAAAAAGTTTGCACCAAATGCCTTTGCACTTTTGCATTGTGTGCCACAATCTACAATTATTTGCATGCCTTAGTTTTTTATTTGTTGCGCTGAGCACGCTTATCGCATTATGCAGTGTGAAAAAGCATATAAAGATAACGTTATGATTTGCATGTGGCACGCCAATTTCGCATATGCTTTTCGTAGTTGTTGAAAACACCGGTCGTAAAGAGAGCTCTTTAAGATTAGTCACAAGATGATTATTAGCATCACGTATACGTTTTAATTTTGAAGACTAAGCAACAAAGTTGGGATTTGCCTAACGATTTCGGAGCTACAAGTAGAAATACGATCGAGTGGCTTTGGTTTGGTGAACACTTAGACGTATACTACTAAACTATTTCTGATGACGAGCATCAATGCCTATTTGTTATGCCATTCCCAAAGCCTGGGTATTTAAGATTCTTGTGGTTTTCAAATGCCTAGAGAAAACTGACTTTATTAGCTGAGGTCAAATTAAAAAATATATAGTATATGTATAATTGTTGTTAATTTGATTAAAAAATGGAAAGTTCCAAAAGTACTGTGTTTTCGATATTTCTAAACGTTCCTGCTAACTGATCATCTTGCTTCAATTTTCTTTAGCCAACAAAGTCTAGTATCGAAATTAGTTACTTTAACAGATTTTTAGTCAATTTAGCATTAACCGTCAATGTATAAAGTTATATGGTGATTCATCTTAAGAATGGCATCAGAAAAACCATATCTATTACAGTACAGGTGTTAGAGAGAATCAATTAACTAAATATTTTACTTTTACCATCAGAAAAATGTGTACCAGGATGAGGTAAAAAGAGTTCTAGAAAAGGTTCGGGTATCAGAAGTCACGATTTTTATTGTAACACAGCTGATTCGGAAACCTTTGTACAGTCCAAAAGGAGGAATAATTGAGACCTATTGATCTGACAATTGTTGGTACTTTTGTACCCTGGACTGAATAAATAAGGTTTGTCACGAAGCTTGTAACACCCAGAAGAAAACGTCGGAGGCCGTATAAATTATATATATAAATCGATTAAAATCAAGTTCTTGTGTGGAAACATTTTTATTTGTGAAGCTTCCGTGTATCCGGAGTTAAAGCATTTTCTTTTATTTATGTGTTCATGTGCCGTCTCATCGGATGTCAACATTTTCTACGCTTCTCCACCGTATAGCTGGACGGAAGTAATAACTTATAGAGTTTGATGTTGTTTCGTCGAGAGAGGAGTAGTAGCATCTGTTAGCGTCAGATCTCAGAGCTGTCATTTTTGGTGTTGTTGATGCTGTGTTGTGATAGACGAAATTATCTGAGTGGCATAAAGGCAGCTCCTTTTCGTGCTGTCCAAGGCAGCTTTAAAATCTATGAAAGAGTGTGTATTATTTCTTCTCTCTCGGGCCTTTTCCAAGATTTGGCGTATGGTGCATATCTGGTCGATGCTGTATTTACTAGGTCTAACGCCGCACTGATAAGGTCCAATCAGTTCGTTGACAGCTCGCTCGATAAGACGTTATGCGACATTGAGCATGTTTATCCCACGATAATTGGATTGGATTGAAAATTTCGGAATTTTCATATGAAAAATATAAAAATAGATAGTGATGCCAGACAATGGTATAAATGAAAAAAAAAAAAGAATTTGCTTCTGCGAAAAATTTATATTTCGCTGGCAGGTGTCAAACGACAATCCGATCCATCATAAAAAATAATCCACGTAAAAATTTGAAAAGTAACCAAAACAAAAGGTAGATATAAACAATATATTAGCAGAGAAAAAAAAAGAAACCAATCGCAAACCACAATGTAAAGAAAAAATAGCTGCATTTCGCACGCTCCCCGGGGCATAAACTATGAATAAATGCTAAAGTTGGTAGATGTACATATGTACGAGTATGTAAGCAGCGGTATGCACTTGTGCAAATATGCTTATACATACATACAAGTATGTATGTGTGGAAGTCCAAATGTGTTGGTCTTTGAGCAATTTTCTACGCATATTAAAATAACAGCAAATTTCATAACCTCGAGGCCTCGCAGCGCTTCGTTGGGTGGGTGGATAAAATCTATGAATATTTATATACAAGCATACTACCATATAACCAACTAACATACAAATGCACACACAAACACACGCAGCTGAGTAGGTGCAAATATGTGTGAATTCCTATCTTTCGCACGTGGCTCAAGGCGCTTTGAAGATTGAATCGGTCAGGATTGATGGTGCGGAACATTTGTGGAGACGCGACTACATTGGGTTTAGAGAAAATTTATTTATTTGCATACACACAAACACATACATATCTACAAAGCATGTAGTAAGTGAGATCATATTGATATGAAAATCCCAACATTTGCATGCTTTTTATGCGCCACAAAATTTACACGCATTGCTGAGGTATTTTCACAACTGTGCCGTTGAGTCATTTTCATGTCGTAATATAAAGCGCAAAAAGTAATTTTTAAACTTAAAATTGAAAAATGGCAAACTTATTTAATCTCGCATGAAATTGATTTCGTTTTGGTTAACAAGCTGTCGGCAGCAGGCAGGCAGCAGGTGGCAGGTGGCAACCGTTCAGCCAGTTGAGCGCAATATTTGCAGAGAGAGCTAAACCAGTGTGCAAAATGCTGTAAAAAGACAAAAAACAGCAAGTAAAAAAAAAATTGTCAACAAGTAAAACTCGCATAAAAAACTACAATGAGTCTCCAAATCGGCGCTATTCTTTTAATGTCCGGTGTATAAGCGCACTCGTATAGCGCATAACGGTTGTTACATGTTTTCCACAACACTGTTTCGATTGTCATAGGTTTCAGCTGAGTGCTGTTAGTTTTATAGCTACAAGTTTACGGTATTTTTAATAATCATAAAAAAGGAAAAGAGCTTTTTGTGAAATGCAAACTGATTCGACTTGACATCGAGGTGATACTGCTGCGCATTAGGCTAAGCCTATGAGCATAGTGGAGCGAAAAGAGTAGCAAAAGAGAAATATTGTATTTTTTTGTTTTTTAATGTTCAACTGGGTTTTCAGTATTACTATGATGAATGCAAATATCACGAGCCGACAAAATTTTTTTTTTCTTGTTTTTAAGTTTAGTTCCTTTACTAATTTAAATATATACTTGTATTGATAATATCATCGGCTATATTTTCGAAACGAATCGAATTTTCGAAAGAATCGGTATAACACATCGCCAGAAATAGACGAGTTCAATAAACTGGTAGACATTACAAGTATATACAGCTAGACCCGATTCGATTCGATTCGACTATTTACAATTAATGACATCACATTTTTATGGGGCCTAGTAAAAACAATCCAAATACGCAAACATGTCACCTAAAAATTTGAATGATTTCTATGGTCCTCATACTACGCCAGTCTCTTACGCGAAAGTTTGGTTTCATTGATTCCGTACCGGTAATTTTGATGTCAAAGATGCAACACGCTTTGAAAAATCATTTTTCGAAAATAAAGGTAAAATATTGGAAATCGTGGAGTCTATTGTTTTGACTACGCATGAGCTAAACACAAAAAACCGTTTGGAACCATTTAAATAAGACTGGATAGAAAAAAGAAACTCGATGTATGGGTACACATGAGTTAACGCAAACAAACCTCTTGGAGCGAATTCCTATCAGCGAAGAAAATCGATTCATTTCTGAAGGGATAATTAATGGCGATTTAAAAATTAGGTCACTTACGACAATGCCAAGCGAAAACGGTCGAATCGCGGTCAGCCGGCGCAGACGAGAATCAAGCTAGGACTGACAGTTAGGCAGGACCAGGAAGGTTTTTATTCGGACATCTACTTTTACCGTCTGAAGAGAACCGTCGAGCTGAAGCGACTAACTTTGACCATGTATACCATCAAATCCACATCAAGCAACATAACTATAGTGACTTCTCAGAAGCTACAGGAGCTTGGTTGGCAGGGTTTTATGCATCCACCTTATAGTCGGGGGACCTGACACCAAGTGATTACTACCTATTCCTGTCTATGGTGAATGATTTTATTGGTGAGAATTACGCCTCAAGAGAAGCTTGTGACAATCATTTTAGATTTTATAATTTGTGTCTTTAATGAATAAAGCGAAGCTTATCAGTTCCGATTTCCGCAACACAAAAATAATAGCGAAGTGTTGTGAACATCTTAATTAGTATTTTGCGCTCTAACTTTTGGACACGTGGAAATAATATATTTCCTATTCACTTCTTCGTTAAATTCATATGCAATCTACTCGGTACGGCGCATATAATGTAAGTGTAAGGCATACTTAAAGGCGCATGAACTTTGACACCACTTCAGCGCACACCAAAGGCTGACAATTTAGCTGCAAACTTTATTATTATTTATATTTGCACTTTTTGTGCCTTTGCGTTGTTGACATTGTTTTCTTAGTTGCTCTCTCCTGTCATAAAATGTAACACAATTCCAACAACAAAAAAGCCATAAAATGCAAGCTTTTATTCAAGCGCGCATACTTTAACATGTTAATATGGCCGCTCGCCTTGCCTTAACTGTGTCAAAACTACGTAATCAAATGACAACGTGAAACTTCTGAGCACTGTAATAAAAAGAAGTTAAGCAAAGACCAACAAAGAGAAGAAAAATAAATGAAAATAGTCATAATGAAAACGAAAAGAAGTTCGAATAGTTGTTAACAAGTTTCGTTTGTTATTCGAGTTGAGGCATAGTTACCTTAGGAAAAGTGGTAAATTTTTGGCAGTTTTCCTTTTGTTCACATTCAAATATATAATCAAGAAGCGAACGTGTATAGATACATTGATATATAGAAATTCATGTTACATTTGAGGGAATTTTGAACAAAAAGTATCAGTTTTCGTAAAAAAAAAATTGAGCAAATATCATAAAAGTTTATATATTTCTAATAGAAAGTTTGCTCTGTGCAAGAAGAAGTCTTAATATGCCCGCTGACGCAATTTACAAATGTATTTCTGCCCGGCGAGTAAACTTTTCAAGTCTGGATACTAATAGAATTCCCACTGTGCCAAATCTGGAGAATACGTTGGATTCGTCTCGTAAAGTCGACTATTTCGACTTTTCTTGGCCTTTGGAGGATATCAGTGGATGGGTGTTTCGTCGACGGTTAAGGAGCACACAAACTGCCTGGCAATAAAGACACCCTAGCGCAGCTATCAATAGAATGTTAACCCGTCGCAGCTCCACTTTTTTCGCGCATCCTACTGCTGAATAATTGGGCTTCGCGGAAGCTTGGTCAGCGTTGAACTGCCATTAGTTTTTAAGCTGTCGCAAGTTCCATTTGACCCAAAATGAATCGCAAGATGTCTAGTGAGCCCAACGCCTTCATTAAGGTTAGCTTTCCCCAGTTGTAGAGGTTCTAACTAGTGACAGCCCTATCGGTGTCCACAAGATGGGGTTGATAAACACAGGAGGCCAACTGTAGAAGCTGTTTATCTTTGCAGGATTAAGGCGTAAATTCCAGGATGTTAACACTTTCAGGTATCCAGCACACTCGAATGGGAATAGAAATAAAACGTTTAAACAGATTTGTATTGGTCTCAAGACACTTTGTGGACTCTCATAACAAAGATAATCAAAAATATTTTTGGAAATTAGAAAAGAATTCTCCATAATTTTTTTTCGGTTAAATTATTTTTCGCGCTCTTTGGCACATTTTTACTTCCTTCTCAGTGAAGTATTTCGATTTTCCTTAATGGCTGCGGTTAATATGCGAAAAAATGTTAAGCCCACCACATCAAAATTAAGAATCGCGATTTGCGAACTGGAATTTCTGATTTGTCGGCATTCCAGGTGAACAACACATTTCAAAGCGCTTTGCTGCACTTATACACACAAACTTTTCATAACGTTATATAAATATCTAGATATATCTCGTTATGTATACGTTGGACGCGGGCGTCGCGATTGTCTACTTTTACAGCTATTAAGCTGTGTGTTTGTGTGCGCGCAGCCCGTGGCATTGATGATGTTGACGCTCGTGTTGCCATGACTGAAGCGTAACAAAATAGTGGAAGCAAAACAAGCGACGGTAACTAACCGTTCGTTCGAGCAGTAAACACCATCATTACCGCCACCCATAGGCCACCCAAGCAGGAAGCGTTGTAAACCGCCAATGTCAGTGATTTGCCGCAGCGGCTACTGATGCTCATGCCGTTGCTGCTGTTCTTGTTGCCTTGACTGTCTATTGAGAGCAGCTCAGTTGTGGAAGCACAGAAGCGGTGGTGGGAGGTGGAGGCGTCCTCATCGCGCATTGGAAAAGTATTACGCCCGGCGCAACAACTGTTGTTGATTTTCGGTTGGTTCATTGCTGTTAGCTTTTTACATAATAAAAGTTTATGAAGCATTAAGCACAATACTGAAGTGTTATTGGGCGCAGCAAAGACAGCGCACACGCCACGCAGCAAGGAAGAAAGTCAAGGTCCAACAGATGATTAACTTAACTGAAATGGCCGGAGTCGGCAGTCTGTGGTGCTGCGTACAACGGCGACTGTTGCTTCTACTGTTACACAAATTGTCGATGAGGCTTGTATTATTGCAGCGTTTGTGGTTGTATCTCTGTATATACGGCATATAAACGCATGCGTGTGTGTGTGTGTGCTTGTGCAGTAGATTTTCACTAAGATTTTATACAACGAGCTATAACAATATGCCAATTATGCAATTGAAATTTATTATCGAGATAAAACACACACACACATAAACAGACGCATGCTATGTAGTATGCATGTGTGTGACTCATTAGAATTGTTCATTTGCAGAGATGCATACGCATATTAATGGACTTGGATCATTCTCGAGTAGGCACCTGCGGCATCAAAAATCTTTAATCGATATTTGCTAAAAGAATGAGCTTACGTAAAATAGGATATTATTTGCACTAAAATTGTTGCATCTGAACGCAGTAACATATATATGTTATCTTGTAAACGAGCGACATGGACTTTTTATCTCGCTGGTTCATGCACGCAAGCGCTTACAACCGAATGTTGCAATAAGATCTAAATTTCAAGATTAAAGTTTTGATTGACAACTAATATTTTTTGTTAGCCCACACAAATTCCGTTAGAGGTTTAGCAATATACTTGGTAATAATTTTTTTTTAGACAAGTTTTTCCCTAATTTTTTTTTTTTTTAAATTTTTTAATTACTACTCAAGGACTTGCTTCAAAAAGCTGTCAAATGCAGCAATTATTAATATTAAAAAATGAAAAAAAGAATAAACGTTAAATACGGCTGCACCGAAACTATAATACCCTTCACATGTTCCAGTTTTCCATACAGGGACCTGAGTTTGATCGTCCAGTTTGTACGGCAGCTATAACCTATAATGGTTCGATCTGATTAATTTATTTGGAGATTTTACCGTCGTGTTTTAAAACATTCGAACGATAAATTTATTTACGAACTAACTATAGAACTAAAAGGACAGATTCTGATTAAAAACAGTTTCGGAAACAACGATACAGATCTGTTAACTCACGTATGCGTTTGAGGAATCGAAATTTGTGGTATATCACACCCTAAACTTCAACCGAATATAACATTTCAACATTACAGGTTTAAGCCAGTGCTGAAGCTTTAGAAAATGCTAAAATGTGTCAAAAAATCTTCTTAAGTTGAAACCGATTGGAAAAAGAAGATAGAAAATTAAAAATGAAATAAAAAATACTTTACGAGCGATCTTAACTCGGTAAGAGGAAAAGGAGGAATGGTTAAATGTTTAAAAGTTAAAATGGTTCATCTCGGTTTCAGGCAAAGTTGTTGGTGATAAAAAAATCTAAAAAAATTTTATCTTTTCTTACATAATCTTTAAATTCATGCGATAAAAATTTGAGTTTTTGATTTTTTATAAATTTTTTTTTTGAAAAATTTTGGTGTGAACTTATCTTTTTATGTTCCAAACACACTGTACTTTTTTATTTAAAATATTAATTTTCTTACCTTAGTTTGACTTCAAATCGGAAGAGCACCTTAATTATCAATCAAAAATTCTCACGTCAAAATATCCGCTTTTTAAAAAAAGCAGCTCTTTTTCATAGAATTATTAGGTAGATGAAATACAAAAAAGAATTTTAATAAAATGTTTCTTTGAAAATGAATTTCGAAATCTGTTTCTCAATACACAATTAACAAAGTGAACTACTATCAGAACATTTTTCATTCAAGAGAAGAACAGAATAATATATGTATACCTATACTACTTTTTAGTGCTCTCATTTATTTTATTTGATAACATAATTTTAAAGAACCTTCACCTTTCTTTAATACATTTTTTTTGCATGCAACTGCTTTATACAACATATATTAAAAAGCCAGCTTCTGGATATTATTTTTTTAAAGACCACTGATATAAAATACTTCTCCCCACTATGCAAGAATTTCTAGATGCAAAATAAAGCTGCCTCTTGAAATCTAAAAACAATGTATTAGGCAAATCTCTTAATTCACTAATATTAAGTGCTTTATAACCAATAGTCATATGTATATCTGGTAGGTGTGGTATCACCTCTTACTCTAATCATCTCTTGACATGCCTTTGGCAACTCACCGCCACCATTCCCAAAACTTTTGACCCGATGTCTTCGAATAATACGAAGTATGTTCGTTAGATAACCTCGCTGAATGCTCTTAATAATCTTCAAGTACAACAACATCCTTTAAATGCGAACACTTATGTTTCAAACATAATATCCTTTTGTTATTTGCGCGATAAAACACAACACGCCACTTGATAACCGCTTGTTATATAATACAATACTTTCTCTTTGCGATTCTCCAAAGAAATTCCAAATTTAAATGGAAAAATATTCCTGGCAAAACACTTGAGTTTACATAGGTTCTCGGCTCCTTGAGAATGCCAAAGGAAGCAGGCATTGACCGCTTTGTGCTTTAGCTATTTAAGTGCTTATGTTCATATGTATATACTTGTAAGTATGTACTTGTGTATATATTTACTATATACATGTATATATCTATGCTCGTCTAAATACACTAAAAAGCGCTTGAGTTTACAAAGTGCAAATACTTTCTTATACAAATACTCAAAGGCTTATAAGTACTTTATAGATATGTGTGTAGGTATGCATATGCAAGTATGTTTTTATAAGATTTGCTTCAAACTTGTGTGTGGTCAGTGGCAGTAATTCCTTTGTAATGTTGGAATTTTCGGTGCTTGTGTGTATGCCTGTATGTATGTAAGTGTGTGTAACAACTTTTAAAGTAGTCTATAATTTAGGGCAGCACATTTTCGGTTAAATCGGAATTTGTGTGCTCATAAATAGACTTAATTGTATTCTAGTGATGTGTATCAAAGTACTTATAATATATGTGTAGTGTTATAAAATATTGCCTTAAATAATATAAACCGTTTAATAAGATAAGTGTATAAATATATATAAATGTATGTACGCCTGAGTGGATACCCAAGTTTCTTTAACTTGAGCCTTTGACAGACAATTAACTCTTATTATGCAGAGGCTTATGCATGGTTTTGCTGACCGTCAACAACTATGTAAATGTTTGTTATAAACTTTAAAAGCATATAATTCATATATATTACTGTTGATTGTATGTGTGTACAGGCCAATCTTTAGCTTTTAAATTGAGATGAGCTTTAATTAAAAATTTTAAATTTGAAGTTAAAATTTCAACGAAGTCTAACAAAGTATCCAGATAAGCGCTTAAGAGAATGTGTCAAATATTGAAAACTCCAAAAAATTGTAATTTCAATGACTCGCCTCAGTAAGACAATAATGAGTGAAAAATTGATGTTTAATATGACAATTAAACTCAGGTTTATTATATTTATTTACTTATATATATATATATTTGTAAGCAAATTGAGGTTATTCCCTACTTTTTAGTATGGGTGTTTCAGTGAACTGATTGTAGGTCTACATGAAGATACTGAAATTGTTTACAGATCTACTATAAAGAACCTTGAACTTAGCATAAGTGGGGAGTCAATTAGCGATAGGTTCGCTATTTTGATGCACTATCGTAAGATCTTTATGTTCTTGCTATTTCGTTTCATCGTTGCGTTCAAAGCATTTGACGCTCTCAATAAAACCACTTATATCCATAAGGCTTTTTGAAGACAGCCATTCAATTTTTAGTGCCTAATGGATTTTGGGTTTGTGATCGTGCTGGCCTTTCACAGCGGAAGTGGAAAATTGTTTCCATATTCTCTTCAAGTTTGCAGTAGCAACCAATATTGTTATAGGTCATACCCATTTTTAACGCATGTTCTCCAATCGCCAATGTTACGATCGTAGCTGCAAGTCTGTATATAACTTTCCTGTACTTATTTAATAAGTAGATTTTCTGTCTCGTTATACTTGCTTTGTTATCTTGCATTGGGTTTTGGATATCCACATGTTCTGAGCTATTTGCTCAAAATGCGTATAAAGCCCTCTCTTGATCCTTCCCAGCGGGCATGTTATTAACTTTGCCTCGTATTCGTCGAAAGAGGCACCTGACCTAGCGAACTCGTCTGCTTTTTCGTTATCGAAAATGTTCCTGTGATCGGGAACTCAAATTATAGACAAATGGAGTTGACTTACGAGTCAGTTTGAAGTCTTAAAACAATGCCGCCTGGCTATCTGTGTTTATGGTTGCTTTCTGTATCATCCCAGAGGCCTTCACTATGCCTAGTACTTCCGCTTGGGAGATGCTAGCTGAGCTTGGTAGGCGAATAGGGAGAGAGATTTCAAGATCCTTGACGTATAAGGTCCCTACTTTGCAGTCCATTTTGAACCCATTTTGAGAGAGATGACATCCTTCTGCCCTACTTAACCTTTTTTTCTATTCATGTCGAGAGGGTATCCTCACTTGAAAGTAACTGTCGAAATTCTAACTTAGTAAAACTTGGTTAGTAAGAAAACTTCTATAAGCAGTTCATATAGAAGCACATTAACCACATGGTATACCTAAGAATATGATTTTATCGAGAAAACTGGTTGTTTGAAATTACGTTATCCAGATTTTTGATGAAATTCCCTTCCTAGATTAGATCCCACTTGATTCAAACCCCCTTCAAATGAGAACAACTTTTATGAGAAGCATTCGAAAAAGTATTTTTAAGTGTTTTTCTGTGAAATTTTGAATAAAGAAACTACTAATTGACATTCATTCAATATTACCAGAGGTTGATCTTACCACAGTATAGAGCTTACAAGCTTTCTGCTCTCGTTAATTGTATTGAGTGCACATTGAAAAGCAGGACAACTGCCTTTAAGAGGTCTCTGCAGTGCACGAGCATGTTGTTGCCAAAAAATAGAGGTTATATATAATATATATATATATATATGATATATGCATACACAACATCGGTATAAATAGTTATATGAAAATAAGTGAGTGTAATGTAAGTTTTTAACGTTCTTAACGGTTGCGACCATTACGTATTATATTTCAGCCCATATATCCTATATTTAAGTAAGTAACATGTAAGTAAAGCTACGAGTATATGTAATCCTTTCGACTTGAAGCTTCACTCTTATAACTTACTTTTAAAGCTTTCAGGCAAAGTATTGGTTGACGTAAATCTCAAAGGTTCATCGCATTCCCTTATCATATATTTATCCTACATTTCTCGTTTACTCGCACTAACTACTCTAGCATGCAAATGGCATATAAAAATGAAATAAAAATCACTTCAAAGCGAATACCAGTATTGCCTGGAGGGCAATGAAAATACTGACGCGCAGCTACATACATACATACAAACAAACACACACGCATGCACGCAGAGGCTTCGTACTGAGAGTAATAAAGCATGTGAATTGCTCTTTAGCTGCTGTTCTTCTTCTTCCGTTACCACGGAACAAGCTAGCGGAAGTGAAATGTGTAATAAGTACTGCTAGAGATATATGTGTATATGTGTGTGTATTTTAGAGGTTCACTGGCGAACTTCATTTTTCTTTTATTAAATTTATTCTTCCTTGTTATATTTCCCCCATTTTTTCCAGCTTTGAAGTTGTTTTTTGCTTCTATAGTATACTCGTATTCAAAGTCAAGGATTCAAAGGCAAGCAGCTGTATTCAATTGCTGTGAACTGTGGCAATATCGCACATTTGCTATCTGGTCTACATCTTCGGCACGACGCTGCGGCGTAGACGACATTGCCAATAGCACTAAAAAGCTCTCATCCGCTTCGATTCGTATATCCTTACAGTAGATAGGACGTGCTCCATTGTCATCATCGCCTGAATTTGTTGAAATTTATTGATGCACTCCTCAAAGGATGCATGAATACTATTGTTGTTGTTGTTGGTTTTGAGGTAGTTCTCATTCTACTTATTTGTATGTAGTGGAAAATTAAATACTGATCACTTTTGGAACAATTGTTTCAACTTATATATAATATGTGCAATAGTATATATAACTGATGATGTATTAGAAGCTCATTATTGGTTGCATTTGTGGAATGACAGCTTATTTCGAAAGCTGGTTGTTCTTATAGAAAACTCATGATTATGGTGAAGATTCTCATACAGTACCATCTGTGATTATGTCGGCATTAAAACATCGAAATTTGGGTTAAGGCATAAGATCCTACATTTTATATTATACGGTTTGAATTAGGTAGAATTTTAAGTTAACTAAAAGGGAAGACTTGTTTTATATTCGAACTATATCCCTTCCAGTCGAGATTTCTGGTTCTAAGTTTAAATTGCATTCTTAAATTCCTGTTTTATTTTCAGTAGGTTACTGAATCTTTACTTACTTTCGAACAATAGACCATAGACACTTTGTATACTGATAACTTTGTCCAAGCCTCTTTGAATGCATATTTTTGTACTTTTCACTATAAAGAGTGCTTTACATCGTAGTTTGTTCAAAGTACATTTATACCATAAAAACTGTCTTCGATTCACCAAATTTTGGAGAGTACCGAATTAGATTGGCATTATAAAACAGAAATAGATTAGCAAACGGTTGTACCACTTTGGAGAGAATATATCTTGTATTGAATTCAATCACATAATTTTTATGTAATTTTTTTAAGAATATAAAAAATCTAAAACTTAGTGAGAAGAGAAGTGACGAATCGAAGATGGTTGAAATTTGGTGTATACGATTTCAAACCATAAATAATTCGTTTAATGCTCAGTGGCCAATAATGTAGGCATATTTTGC